TAAAACCAAAGAGAAGATGACTCAACAAACTTGTATTTGTGCTTATCTACACCTTTCTCTGGGAGAGTTTTAATTGTGGAAAGAAGCTATTTATATTAAGCTCAATACGTTGCAGGTTAAGGAAAATGAGCCTTCGCCGGCACCCACTATGGCCCTACACGCCTTAAGTGGCACCCCATCATTGGCAACCGACCAACCGCCTTTTCATAATTTATTTGAATTACCAGCTTAAGACAACTATATTAACTAGTAATTTATGAGCAAATGCACTATGGTTTTTGTTTTAAAAATCTCTCCAGGATAAGTATGTATGTGATGGAATATTAATCTCCCTTGCATTATTGTTGAGCTTTTATGTCATTTTCCTAAAAAAGGTTTTTAAATGAAAATGTCTTTGTTATAACAATAATGCTAATGATCATTATATATATATATATATTAAAGACATGGGTTTGGGATGTGAGGTGGGGTGAGAGGAATTATCGTTTATATATATTAATTTAATCATGTATACAAATATAATTATTTGAACTCAAGACCTAACCATATATTGTTAATAAAAAGAAAAACTCTACTATTAAAAAATTAAAAAAAAGGAGGTCCATTAATTATTATATGATAGCCATAAAGTCTATGAAATTAATTGATGAAATGTTTTTAGTTAACACTGATGATATCACAAGGCGGAATTGTTTAGTTGATTAGTTATGTAGGAATTGATGAAAGAATTAGAAATTAATACAAAGTCGTCAAGCGGTGGATTATTTTATTAGGCTTGCGTTGATGACAATAAAATATATTTCAAAAGCTCTTTGAGATAAATGTTTTTATATTATTATTTTATTTTGGGGTGACTAGTGGAAATGTCTTTATGCCTCTATACATTAAAATTTTGTTTATGGCGAAGTTTTAATATTATTCTACCTGAATTTATCAAGCAATTTTAATAGTAAAAGAAAGTATTATTTCTCTCTTAAGATTTTAGATTAGAATAATTGTGTCTACATGGTGTACGTACGTCGTCAATGAATAAAAATATTTTAAATAGATATTATTCCTATATTATTAAAAAATATTACTTTACCTAACATTAGTTTGCACTTGTGCTTGTTTGACTAATTACTGCTTTAGTAAACAAAGTGTTTCAATTTGATATATGTTATTAGATAAATAAAACTCATCCCAATTCATGTCCAAATTTATAGATGTCAACTAATATGTTATAACAAAACAGCTGGAACTTCTTTATCCCAACTCTGTCATACTAGGCACAGTTTCATATATGTTAAGAAAATATAGCAAAAACATGAAAGTAAAAAATAAATTTATTGTTGATATTTTATACAAGGTTAATAATATGTATTAATCTCACAAATTTAATATTTGTAAATACTAAATTTAAAAAATATATTCAAAATTTTTAAAAATATTAACTAATTTTCTTAAGAAATTTTCAATTCATTGTCAAAAGCATTTTACCCGAATAATTTCGCCCCAATAAAGACTAAAATATTATAAAACATATATGTACTTAACAACTAAATGTATCATACCCTTATTTGTCATTTTACTCATATCAACTATCAACTAAATTTTACCAAACACTTTTATATAAATAGTTAATCAAATCAGTTGGTCAAACCAACTACTAGAATCAGCTACCAGCTACTAGAATCAGCTACCAGCTATAAGTTGTTTGTCAAACCCTCTTTATAATTTCTTTAACATCATTAATAACTTAGTGGGCTAAAGATTAATTAGGATCAAACTTCAAGGATGTGGGTGAAATTTATCCCTACATTCTTCTCTCATTTGGATGGCTAAAACAATACGAGGTGCAAAACAAACAAAAATGATTTACAATTGAATAATTGATTGAAGTATCAAACTTACAAATGAAATACATCTGGTTTGGTTTAAATTACTTTTTAAGATTAACTAATGCAGTAACGGATAAAGTATACAAATGGTTTTCGACTATAGTACGTTATTTTTTTGAGTTCATTGATTATTAAAAGTTATAAAATGATTTCTCGAATATAGAGTGGTGTTTTGTTGAGCCCCAAATCATTAAAAGTTACAAAATAGTCATTCGTCTATTCGTATGTTATAAATTCATTATTTTATATTAAAAATTTGACGCTATTTGAGTTGGACGTTAACATACTAATTGCATTATAATAAAACCATATTTTAATGATGTCTAGTAGAACTGTCAGTACTTTCAGGCACTAGTTCAACAACATATTGTTTCAAGCACTGACTAGACGACATAATGTTAACGGAGACTTAATCCATAAAATACAACTCAAACGATTTTTGGATTGACTTTTATCATATCCCAACAGTAAGCTAACGTCAAACTCAGAAGATCGTCAATTTTTTAACAAAAAAAATGATGAATTTGGAACTTATGAATAGTTGAACTACCATTTTATAATTTTTAATAGTCGAATGACTAAACAAAATAGTATCAAGGGACTCCACAAAATATCGTCCTATAGTTAGAGGACCATTTGAATACTTTACCTTATAATAATTGAGAATATCGTTCATCCTTCTTAATATATTGAATAAAAAGTTGGAGAGAAAAAAGAGAATAAAACTATTGTACCGTTTATTAAATGAAATTTTTATTTTGTTAATGAGCTCTTTTACTATATTATTTTAAGAAAGTTATAATTTAAGATGATGTTCGATAAATTAAAAAATTAAGTGTTAAAAGTTTTAATAAAATATTAGGTGTAAATTATAAATTTGTTTGATATCTTATTTAGAATTAAAATATTAAATATAATTAAATTCATTTTTAAAAGAAATAGAAAATATTAAAAACATTATCCTTTTAAGTAATAAGTAGGTTTCTATTTATTTAATATTTTCACCTTATTCGTTGAAAATATTTGAATGAATAATTTTAATTTTAGATTATAAACATATTAAAAATCGTTTTTTTAACTAAACTAGAGCAATTAATTTTATCAAATAAAAAATAGGAAATACAACAAAATTATAATCACGACAAAAACTAAAGTTGACTAATGCAAACATAAAAACAAACAAACAAATTAACCCTTAAATAATGAAACTAGGATTATCAACAAAAAAAAAAGTAAAAAATCTAATTAAACAATATAAAATACGGAAAACACCACCGTTAACGGTAACAAATAATCACCATCAAAACTGACATAAAAATGAATATAACGATGATAAAACATTGATAAATGGTCTTATCACAACTCAAGCGCGATCTATTAAGGATTATTGTGAACACCAATCAATATGAGATAATTAGTATGGGCGTCCAAATTAGAGATAGATTGACAAAATAATCAAATAAACGCCAACTAACGAAATATCATCAAATCTAACCTTAAAAAATATATTACATAAGCGAGGAAAGCGTGCTACAATAATAGAGAAAACCCATCTTTTTTGTTAGAAAATTATAAAATTTATTAAATCAAAAAAAATAAAAAATTAGAAAGAAAATAATATAAAAGACAAAAAAAACACCAATAGTTATGACAAAATATAGATGATAACCACTTAATCAAAGGTCATCGGTGCTATTCTCCTAAACAATTGAGGAGAAAAAAATATAAAAAGAGAAAAATAGTATCTTAAATTTTTTAAATAATTTAAATAATTAATTATTAATAAATTATTTTTTCGATGATTTATCGAATTTGTCCTAGGGTACCCACACTCTTCAACGAAGACAAAAACAAGGCTTATTTAGTTACATTTTACTTTTGTTATTTTTAACACATCAATTTTGAGTCATCTTGGTAACAAACTATAAGGATTAATTGTCATCGTCCATAAATTATGAATCAAGTTCTAAATTGGTCCTTAAATCCTCCCCCTAGTATGACCGTCAAGTTTGATGTTAAATATTAGCTTTAGATGTAATATGTTTAGGTATATTTATTAAGCTGCACCGTTTAAAAAAGAAAGTACGTTAAATCCATATTAATATTTAACATCAAAGTTGATAGTTAACAATGTGATTGGAATATTACTGTAGTTTAATAATTTAATCGGAATGTTTTACAATTTAGGATCAATTTAAAATATAGTTCAGAATTTGGGAACTCTAACGAAATAACCCTTTTGATATTTAAATGGTTATCTAACTTTTTAGGGTTTGTATTTTAGTCATCAAACTTTTAAAATTTATAATACAATTGCTGATTTTTTTTTAATTTACTTTCATTATGGTTACTACCATCAATTATAGTTAAAAAATATTGATATGATATGTGAAAGTCATATTCTTCCCCCAAAATTTTAAGTTTCTTAGATCTAAAATTGAACGCCATCGTTCCTCATTTTATTGTCATTTTTATCATCGTTAAGTGATTTCTTTAGTAAAAAAATCACCAAACTATTCCTATTATTCCTCTTCTCTTGTTCTTCATCGATTCAAACTCATCGGATCAACTTCTAATCTATTAAAATTCTAATAAAAAATATAAGTTATTTTTTTAATCTGCCATTGTCAATTGTTAGACCTGCTTGGAAACAAATTATATTAATCTTTTGACCAAACAAAGTCTTCACACCTTTAGGATTGACTGACGACCACTTTATTCATTAGAAACTCGCCAAAGTTGTAATGAATAATTTTCCTTTTCTCTTCTTTTTCTTTACTTCTTTTATTAGTTTGTTATTGTTTATTATTTATTGTTTTTGGTGGTTGTAGTTGTGCATAGTGACTGAACGAGATTGATGACGGTGGCTTGGGGTTGATCTGATTGTGAATGGTGGTTGTAGTTCATGATTGTGGTGTTTGAAACTTAGATGAAATGATGGTGATAATGCTGGTAAAAGAATATCATTATTTCTTAATAGAAGCACAAAAGTGATCATAATGAAATGAATTGAAAATTCAACTACCATATTACAAATTTTAAAAATTAGTAACCAAAATGCAAGTGGCTAAAATATTTAGTGACATTTATAGCTAATAATAATAGTAACAAATCCCCCTCATGTATTTCATCTGATTGAAACGTTGAGCGGTTGGATCTCGATGTCCGCCTAGCCGTTTCAGCTCGAATTCTGAAGTTCTTATTATTTACTTTCTTCGTTCATTTTTCGAGAATAAATTACAGTAAAGCAAGCCTTTTTCGTTTGTTTATGTTATTAGATTGTTAGGGTTTTCTTTTGCATTTTAGCTCAGAATTTTTTGTATCAATTTGGTCGATGGCTTCGAGTCCTCCATTTCAGGTGGAGGATCAAACGGATGAAGATTTCTTCGACAAGTTAGTTAACGATGACGATGATGACAGCATGGCCCCCACCGTCCCAAAATTCACGGAGGGTAATGACTCCAACGATGCTAAAGTCTTTTCCAATTTTTCGATAGGAGAAGATTCCGGCGGCGAAGAAGCTGACAGTCATGGTGGAAAGGAAAAAGATCCCGTGGATGCAGATCCAGCACCCGCCAATGCGTCAGCAGGTAATGGCTCTAATGATTCATTAGGGATAGATAATAGTGTGATTTACTCAAATAATCATCTACAAGAAGAAGCACAAGTCAGAGCTGTAGTCAGTCAGATCCCGTGGATGCAGATCCAGCACCCGCCAATGCGTCAGCAGGTAATGGCTCTAATGATTCATTAGGGATAGATAATAGTGTGATTTACTCAAATAATCATCTACAAGAAGAAGCACAGTCAGAGGCTGTATTCAGTCAGAAGTTAAATGACAATATTGAATCTAAGAACGCTGGGGTTAAGGAAGTAGGGTGGAATTCGCTTTTTGCTGATTCTAATGAGAATGGGGTGCAAGGGTTCGGTCCGTATTCTGATTTTTTCGGTAATTTAGGGGAGAATTCCACATCGGATTTCCCTTCTGAGGTGGATGCAATTGCAAAAACAAGTTTATTATATCAGAATTCAGTTACTACTTGCGAGAAGTATCATGATGGCAACCATGATCAAGTTTGTGGAGATTCTACTGCAGATAATGGAAATGAGCTTGATTTGTACAGCAGTCAGTACTGGGAGAATATGTATCCAGGATGGAAGTATGATGCAAATTCAGGGCAGTGGTATCACATGGATGGTTCAAGTGGTGATGGAAGTGGTAACACAGATGTGAAAGCAGGGGCTTCTTATTTGCAGCAGACATTTCAATCTGTTGCGGGGACTATGACAACTGTAGAGAGCAGTGCCACAGAGAGTGTGGCAAATTGGAAACAGGTTTCCCAAGTGAATGATGGGTATCCAGAACATATGGTTTTTGACCCTCAATACCCTGGTTGGTACTATGACTTAATTGCTCAACAGTGGTGTGCACTGGAGAGCTATAATGCCTCTATTAAGTCAACTTTTCAAGCTGATGGTCAGCAAAATGGATATACTTCTACCGTTCAGAATTCTCTAACACAAACTAATGGCTCTAGGATGCATAGTGAACATGAACATCCTACTTGGGGAGATTCCTATGGTAACTATTCTAATGCAGGTTTGAATATGTGGCAACCTGGGACTGTTCCCAAAACTAAAGCAGTTTCAAGCTTTGCTGGGAACCAGCAGTCAGATACATCTTTCGGTTTGAATATGCCAGTGAACAACCATGGAAATCACTTCAAGTCATCCTATAATTCTCTTCCAGAAGTTCCTCTTCCAGAAGTTCAGTCAGTCAATAATGCGAATCAGGTTCATACTGAAGCCAATGGGGTTTCCTGGTTACAAAGCTTTCTTCCTACTGAAAACTTCAATCACCAGTTTACCCAGACAAGTTTAGAGCAAAATGAGCAAATGCATTCTCAAATGATTCTATGGAGGCCAGAAGTATGTGAATGTTGCCCAACAGGACTCAGACAAGCGTTCATACTGAAGCCAATGGGGTTTCCTGGTTACAAAGCTTTCTTCCTACTGAAAACTTCAATCACCAGTTTACCCAGACAAGTTTAGAGCAAAATGAGCAAATGCATTTCTCAAATGATTTCTATGGAGGCCAGAAGTATGTGAATGTTGCCCAACAGGCACTTCAGACAAGCCAGCTGCTTCCTTATGCTTTTAATACCGGGCGGTCATCTGCCGGCCGTCCTCCACATACACTTGTTAGTTTTGGATTTGGTGGAAAACTCATTGTAATGAACGATAGTAGTCCTTTGCAAAACTCGTCATTTGGTACCCAGGTTTGACAACTTATATATAAAATAATGTAGTAGTATAAATCTAATTTATTTTTCAGAAGCTAGTGGAAGTAAGAAATAGATTCTTTGAAGTTGTGTCTCTTCTTATTTCCAGAAATTAACATATCTTTCTTGATTGAGGGTCTAAGCCTGGTTTTCTAGCAGGGGAACCCTTATTGAGTTTTTAAGTACCAAACATGAGGCTCTTGCTATAATTTTCATTTTTTTCTAAATGCTAATGGTTAAAACCCCCTTCATATCCTTCATGTTATATCAATAACATGAAGGACATCGGAAGGAGGACAAGAGCACCTCTGAATTTTATTACCTTGAAACATAACGTACAACCAATTCGTAGTCATAGAACACAGAAACTTGATCAACCTTGATCAACAATTCCAGCCTTTGCTAACTCATCCGCTTCCCAATTGGCGGCTCTCAATATATGTCTTGAAATGATGCCCTGTCCTTCCACCTTAGACGCTAAACCTCTAACCAAGTTCTGAAATAGTGGGGTACAGAGGTCAGGATGTTTAATCCACTTCAGAACTGTGGTGGAGTCCACTTCCAAAACAATCTTCCGACTTGGAGAGAAACCTACTTCTTCGATGAGAGTTAAACCTCTTGTGATCGCCATTAGTTCTGCAAGATTTGGAGGACCACCTCCAATATTTTCTTAGAATAAACCCAGTACCAAACCCCTGTCATCTCTAATCAAACCACCTATTCCACCTTTGTCCCAACCCTTAGCCATTGCTCCATCAGCATTGAGTTTAAGGAAGCCTTGTGGAGGAGGTACCCACTTAGAAGGAGTAGAACACCCTTTTTTCTGATTACCATTCGAATCTGCCAGTTTTAGATTCCCAACTAGGGAATCGAAAGGAATATAAACATCATTAAAATTCACCCCGAACCAAGTAGCAGTTCTGTATCTAGCAAGAAAGAATAGCATAGCAGAATCCACCTTCTTTTTTTTGAAAAACAATCTTATTTCTGCATTTCCAAACTGACCACAGAGCCGCCCTTGGAATGAAATTCCAAATATTAGATCTCGGAACTAAATCATCCCACAAAATCAAAAAATCCGTCATATTCTTAGGAACCACAAATGAAACGTTCCAGTCCCTCAAAAATCTGGACCACAGAAACCAAACCACTTCACAATGCAGAAACATATGTGAAATTGACTCCTCACACTTCCCACAAATCGGACATAAAGGATGATCAATCCCAACGACACCTCTCTTCAACAGCTCCTCTTTAACTGCTACTCTTTGATGTGCAACTTGCCAAACAAAAGCTTCTACATGAGGAGGTGCAACCCCTGTCCAAACGTGCCTGTCCCAAAAACCCTCTTCTCCATTAATGCCCTCCTTATCGAAAAATTTTGTGATGCAGGATTTAGTTGAAAAACAACACTCTCCATTACCTAGCCATATCCAACAATCTTCCTCGAGTAATGAAGGAAATGAGGTGTTTAACAAGGAAATAAGCTGCAACCATTGCTCAACCATTGCTCAACCTCCCAATCCACCAAATTCCTTCTCAATTGTATATCCCAAACCCAACCGGATATACTGTGCAACCTGAATTCTGCCACCTTTCCCATTTTATTTTTTGATAAAGCAAAAAGTCTCGGAAACATCTCCTTCAGAGAAACCATACCCAACCATATATCATTCCAAAACTGCACTTATTCCCCATTACCAGCTCTTAAACACATGTTATTCCTTAAGCAATCCCCAAAATCGTCAGAATAAAAGAAATTATTAACCACACCTTTCCATATCCAAGAAGCTCTGGCTGAGCAATTGTTCCCAATCATCATAGAATTTGGGTTCACATTATTCACACTGCACATCACTATCTTCCACCATGATCTCTTCTCCGAAGCAAATTTCCAAATCCATTTCCCCAATAAAGCCCTGTTCAAAATCAGAAAATTCGAAATCCCTAAACCTCCCAATTTCTTTGGCTTACACACCAACTTCCAATTCAACCAATGAATGTTATTTTTTCTTGCCGAGCTTCCCCATAAAAAAGCTGCCATGATCGAGTTTAGCTTGTTGAAAACACTTATTGGTATCCGAAAAATAGATAAGAAGTAAATGGGTAGAGAGCACAAAACCGATTTCACCAAAACAACCATTCCCGCCAACGATAGGGATTTAGCTTTCCAACCAGATAATGCACTGTAAAATTTCTGTACAACAGGTTCCCATAAAGCAAAAGAGTTCCTCTTGGCCCCAACGGTAACCCGAGATACTCCGAAGGAAAAGCACCCTTAGAACATCCAATTTCCTTTGCCCAAGCATCTAGAACCTCGTCCTCCACGTTCACTCCAAAAATTATACTCTTAGTTAAGTTAAGCTTCAACCCCACCAACAATTCAAAAATCAACAAAACCCTTCTAACATTCAACAAATCACGAATTGATGCCTTGCTGAAAATTATTAGATTATCCGCGAATTGTAAATGTGATAACTTGAAAGAGCTATCAAGAGAACCTAGCTCGAAACCCGAAAACAACCCCTTTTCCACTGCTTTTGCCAACAATAAATGTAACAACTCCCCTCCCAGATTAAACAACATCGGAGATAACGAACATCCCTGCCTTAGTCCTCTTGAAGGTTTAATTCTCTCCGTTGGATTCCCGTTTACTAGGACTGAAATGGAAGCCGTTGACACACATTTATAAATCCAAGAGCACCATCTAACACCAAACCCCATTTTGCTCATTAATTTCATCAAAATCTCCCAATCCACCGAATCATAAGCTCTCTTAAAATCCACCTTGAAAACGACTCCCTTCAATCTTTTCTTCCTCCAGTAGTCAATACTTTTATTTGCAATAAAAGAGCAGTCCATAATGTGTCTCCCCGGGATAAGAGCAAATTGGGAAGGACTTATAACTTCGTTAATGCATAGGCTCAACCTCCTTGCTAGAACCTTAGATAGGATCTTATAAAACCCCCCAACAAGGCTAATAGGCCTAAAATCTTCTAATGCCTCCGGATTCACCTTTTTAGGAATAAGAGAAATATAAGAGTGATTAATCTCCTCATCCCATTCCTTCCCCTCATAAAAATCCTTAAAAAACAGTAGCATTACTTGTTTCAAACTAGGCCAGAATTTCTTAAAAAACCCTAAGTTTAACCCATCAGGTCCAGGCGATTTGTTGCTGTCCGAATTGGCAATTACGTCCCATATTTCCTCTTCAGAAAATGGCTTTTCAAGAGCCAGACTATGATCAGTCGAAAGTTTTAGAAAATCCAAGTCCAACTCTTCGGCCTCCAGAGTATTTTTTTGCGTGAACATATCCTTATAGAAATCCACCACTGATACTTTTATCCTACTAGGATCTAAGATGATTTCACTCCCCAATTTGAGGGACTTAATACCATTCCTCCGACCTCTGCCTCCTGCACATTGATGGAAAAACCTTGTATTCTTATCCCCTTCCGAACTCCACTTCACTCTCGATTTTTGAAACTAGATAGACTCTTCAATTTTATAAAGGTCCCACAATTGTTTTTTTTCCTTTAATAGTTGCTTCATAGACACCCCAGGTAAGTCTTGCTGCAAATCAATCTCTAACTTTTGAATTTCTTTTTCCAAACTGTTAATTTTTCCAGGAAATTCTAAGTAGCCCTTATTTGACCAACTTTTAACAGCTTTCTGTACCCCTTTTAGGACGCTGGAAAATGGAATTTTCTTGTCTGTTTTACACCACTTGAGTAGTTTGGCCTCCATCATATTACCAAACCCTTATTCCTCCATGACATAGTTGAACAACTTGAAAGGTTTAGGACCCCAATTCCAACCCCTATTTTCCAGCAAAATCAAATTATGATCCGAAATAGACCTTGGTAGAAGACTTTAGGAAATCAATGGAAAAAGTGACAGAAAATTCTGATCCAGAAGAAATCGATCCAATCTCACATAAGTTGGGACATCCCTATTATTACACCATGTAAATCTTCCTCCAGCCAAAGGTAAATCAACCAAATTAGAACTGTTCACAAAATGTCTAAAACCATTCATTGAGACCAAATTAACTTCACCACCAGCTTTCTCTTCCCGTGACAGAAAAGCGTTAAAATCCCCTCCAAGACACACTGGGCAGTCTGCATTTTCTAGGAATGAAAGCAACTCCCCAAAAAACAGCTCTTTTTCAGAATCCACACTCGAACAATACACATTAATAAACCAACAAGGTCCAGAGGACTCTTCAATAATTCCTCTTACTGCCAAAAATCTGCTGTGAATTACCTCTTCCTGAACAACACAATAATTTTCATTCCACAAAGTAATTAAGCCTCCAGCAAAACCTTCAGCTGAAGATACTGCCGAACCAGTCAGAAATTTGCCTCCCAATTTTCTCAATAATGAAGGACTCACTGATTCCAATTTCGATTCTTGGATAAAAACTATTGAAGGCTTCTTTTCTTCAACACACCTCCTTACCGCTCTAGCTTTAACCCTCCTACCTAGACCTCGAATATTCCAAGACAAAATTTTCCAATTAGACATCTATATCTTACTGAATAACCTTCAATCCCAAACCCCTTAATTACTCCCGTTTCCTTCTCTCTCCTTAACCAAAGAACCTGTTTTTTCCAAAAAGTTTTGTTTTCCCCCTCTAAATTTAACCCCCAACAGTTTGCTAACATTCCAGCACTCAAGAGCCTCCACCCCTCCAGCAGGCTCCCTGGAATAAATAAAATCTGAACTTACATCTACACAGCTCTTAGCTCCCCCTGCTAGACCTCGAATAAACCCGATTACATGAGCCTCTTCTCACTTTACTTCCAGCCTCACTCTTTCCATTAGTAATTTGCAAAGAACCGGATACAGGCCCACACTGAAGAGAGGCCCGAGACTGCTCTTCAATATAATCTACTGTGGGAATATGACCCCCACAATATTTCCTGCCATTCTCTTTATTCTGCTCATCCAATACTTGTCTAGGCAAGCCTTCCCAAAGCCCATTATCAAATTCCACAGTAGCATACTCACGGGGAACATCCCCCATGTGCTTCCTATTTTCTCTCTCTTTTAGTGCTTTTAGAATTTTCCTGCAGTAAGGAGACAACTCTTGCAGCATTCGCACGCTTGCACAAGTCCACCGAAACAACTTTATTTGAATTTGAGCAAAAATTCAAACCCCCCTCGATTTTTGTGTTTTTGCCTTGCTGGGATCCTTGAACCCATTCCTGTACTCTATTTTGGGAATCTGACACCTCCTGAGTACCCACGTGCTCATCCTGCTGTAACTGAACAACCCCTTTGCTCCAATCGGAGGAGCTCTCCTCCCATGGATCCTCTGAAACAACATCTTCAACCATATCTGATAACTCAGGAAAATAATTTTCAGCACATGCAACCTTAATCTTAATCAAGAACTTCCTCCCTAACGAATTGATGATAATATGTTCAGGAATATCAAATGGACTGGCCATCCTGAGAAGCATCTGTGCCACTCTGCAGTCCACTCTATGAGCAGTTTCATCTTCACTAGCTTTCCCCATCTGGATGCCAAACTAGTAAAGAAAGGAACCGACAAGCAATTTAATAGAACTCCAACCATGGAGATCGCACAATAAGGCAGGGGAATACCTCCCTCATCCAGAACAAGTTCCAATCTTTCAAACCAAAAGGACAAAGCTTCCCATTTTTCTTCCATCACCATCCTTCTCTCCTCCACCGTTTGGAAAATTACCAAACAAGCATTTTTTGCAAATCCCCACTTAACCACCTTTGCATTGATGCCGTCATTCCTTAGAGCTTTCTGCAAAAACTCCACTTCAAAAATTGCTTTACATATACCCGTAAGTGATGATTTTAACCAGGCCCTCTCCTCCACCGGAATAAAGACTTCCATAGGATTTTCCAGCTCCTTTTTTCTATGTCTACCCACTTGAATACCCACATGATCTTTGCTCTCCCCAATCACCGTATCTTTATAGGTCCTTCCATCATGGAACCTATTCAACATCTCCATCTTCCTTACCCCATCAGCTGGAGAAGACAACCTTCCATGCTTAGCATCTCCTTTGTCATTGCTATTTGAACCCTCAACCCTTCCTTCAATCTGCTTCCTCACCCCAGAAAGTTTCTCATATTTCGCTACTGTCACAGAAATCCTCCTTCCATCGATCGTGACATTGTTCATCTTTTCCACTGCATTGCACAGATCCGCCTTGCTTGCGAAATGGACAAACGCAAACGTACTAACCTTATAATTCGGTCTGTTGTTAATAAATGGAATGAACACCCTAATGACTTTTCCATAATGACTAAAACAATCCCATAAAGCACTACGACGCACTCTCCTACTAAGATTATTAACGAAAGCCGACCAAGAATCTCCCCCCTTGTATTTCGAAAACTCTCTCTCTCTCTCTAACTCTCTCCATCCCTATTGTGGTATTCTTAAATGCTAATGTTGTATATTGTGTTTGTTTGAAGGGTTCTGTAGGAGCATCTATTTCTGTACTCAATTTGTTGGAAGTTGTCAATTCAAACACTAGCATTTCTGGTGCTGCACCGGCAACCTTTGATTATTTTAATACTCTGTGCCAACAATCCTTCCCTGGTCCGTTGGTTGGTGGAAATGTAGGCAGTAAAGACTTGAACAAGTGGATTGATGACAGGATTGCCAGCTGTGAATCACCTAACATGGATTACGGAAAAGGTGAACTTTTGAGAATGCTTCTCTCGTTGCTTAAAATAGCTTGGCAGCATTATGGAAAACTTCGGTCTCCTTTTGGATCTGACATCCTATTGAAGGTAAATATTTCTATTGTAATTTTCACCCTTTTTTTAACAATGAAGTTCGCTCTCCTTAAAAGTTCACTTTAACTTTTAACTGTGTCATGTGAAGATGCCTGTCCTGGATTTTTCTTTTTCAATCTAATCTTCTTAGGTTTTCTAGCATACAACTCAAGATATAACTACTGTTCTGAGGGGTTTTTTTCATGTACAATAAAGTAAAATGAGACTGTTTTTGTTATCTGATTTCTTTGGCTTGGATATATTGTATTTCATTCTTATTGGCATGTACCCATTTATAGGAGACTGGTACTCCAGAATCAGCAGTTGCTAAACTCTTTGCATCTGCAAAGAGGAGGAAGGACACACCTTATGCTGCTCTTAGCAACTGCTTGAAGCAATTGCCTTCTGAAGGACAAGTTCTGGTATGCCATCAACTGTACTTCACTATTTTTATTATTACAGGCTGTTTTGTGTTTTTCCCTCAAATTTTAATATATGTTGTAGGCAACTGCATTTGAGGTGCAGAATCTTCTGGTTTCTGGAAGAAAAAGAGAGGCTCTACAGCTTGCACAAGAAGGTCAATTGTGGGGACCTGCACTTGTTCTCGCATCACAACTTGGTGAACAGGTTTGCTTTTTCACTTCACTCAATTGTCTATGGCTTGTTCCTATCTTAACGTTCAAGGAAATTTAACTGAAGCTGCAATCTCTCTCTCTCTCTCTTTACTGCTTGTCCCCGGGGTTGACTTCGGATCATCGTAGTTCTACATTGATACTGTTAGGCAAATGGCACTTCATCAGCTGGTAGCAGGGTCTCCTTTACGGACATTATGCTTTCTAATTGCAGGGCAACCAGCCGAAGTTTTTTCCACAGGCCCCACAGTTGATAGCATGTATTTTTTGCAACAGCATGCAGAGGTAATATATCGAAGCATGGAATTTAATATTAGTTGGGATTTTTAGGAAGTAAGAGTTTTCTACCGAACAAGTTGTAAGACATTATATGCTCTGATTATTTTTCTGGTGTGATTGGATTCTTCAATAAGAAATTTAAGAAAAAAATTGCTTGTGATGAAGTGGTTAACCATGAGAAAAACAACATAGGTTAAAGGGATTGTATTTCAAATACTTTTGATGCTTCTATTCTATGAATACCTTTTTGGAACGATATTGCTAACTATTTGGAGGAAGGGTACCTTTGTTGTGGAGAACTGGTTCTTCATTCAGCTACTGCCTGTTATATTTCATTTTGTTTCTTCTCAATTTTCTTTTGCCGCATGTTCCTTATCATGTGAGGTCCATATGTTTGAATTCATATTAGTAGTAATACTTTTTCCTAAACCAATGAGAAGCTGAGTTCCGTTGCTTCTTTTGTTTCTTTCCCCACTTTTTCTTTATGGGCAGTTAAGGGAAAATAGCATGCTTGATGATTGGGAAGAGAATTTGGCCGTAATAACTGCAAATAGAACCAAAGATGATGAGCTTGTAATTATTCATCTTGGAGATTGCCTGTGGACGGAAAGGAGTGAGGTACATTATTGTCTGTTCTAGCTCCATTTTCTCCATTTCGGATGGCACACACTTAGCATATTTATTCATTCTTAATGTTTATAAAATGGCTCTTACTTGAGAGTTCAAATCCAGATAACGGCAGCACACATCTGTTACTTAGTTGCAGAAGCAAACTTTGAGTCATATTCAGGTAGTGCTAGACTTTGTCTTATTGGAGCAGATCACTTGAAGTTTCCACGAACCTATGCTAGTCCAGAGGCTATCCAGGTGCTCTTCAAATTTATTTGGTCCGTAATTGTTGTGTTATTAACCATTTGTCAAACATGCTGTTGGTACTTTAGCATGTTTACTGGAGTTTATCCGTTTTATGATTGATTTACAATGTTAATTTGAGAATGTTTTTTCTCTGTTGGGGGAAATGTAAATGAAAAATCAATCTTCAAGCAAAATTGATTAGGTTGAAATCTAAATAGGAAATACAATGTGCATTCTATCATCTCTCTCTCTATACATATATATGTGTATTATATAACACATACACACACACACATACAGACAGACACCTGCATGCATATGCACATACATCTGATCACCTTCATGAAATTAGTATAATTTGCTATTTCAATGGTAAAGCCATATCTTGGATCTGGTTCTATATAATGCCAAATCCTAGCTGTAACTTCTAAGACACCAACCTGTTTAATTTGTTTCAAATTTTCTGTTATTCCTTTACAGAGGACTGAGTTATATGAATATTCAAAGGTGCTGGGGAACTCTCAGTTTGTCTTGCTACCATTTCAGCCATACAAACTTGTTTATGCACACATGCTGGCTGAAGTTGGAAAAGTTTCAGATTCACTGAAGTAAGCATATTTAAGTTGTTTATATTTGATTTCTGAAGGTTTTTTCATTCAATTTATTAACATAGTAAGGTTTGTTCAGGTACTGTCAAGCTGTATTGAAATCTCTGAAAACTAGTCGAATGCCTGAGGCAGAAACTTGGAAACATTTAGTTTTATCTCTCGAGGAGAGGATAAGATTCCATCAACAGGTAAGTTTTAGCTTCTCAGTGTAGGCTTTGTCGTCAATATATTTTCTTTGTTCATATCGAGCTTTCTTTTGTAGGGGGGATATGCTACAAATTTGGCTCCAGCAAAATTAGTTGGTAAATTGCTAAACTTTTTTGATAGCACTGCACATCGTGTTGTGGGGGGCCTACCTTCACCTCCTACACCAGCGCCAAATGGAAATTCTCTAGGTAATGATCATTTCAACCAACAAACTGGGCCAAGAGTCTCTTCTAGCCAATCAACAATGGCTATGTCATCATTGATGCCCTCTTCTTCAATGGAACGTATAAGAGATTGGGCAGGCAAGGAGGCTGATGGCAAAATGACAGTGCATAATAGAAGTGTTTCAGAGCCGGACATGAGCAGAACTCCAAGACAGGTTAACAGTTACCTATATTTGCTACTTGCTGCTTGTGAATCTTACATTAAATAAAGTTAAGGAGGTGTCTTACTGATATTTGATGGATCAGGTTGATTCATCCAAGGAAGTAGAAACATCCACTGAACAAGGCAAAGCATCAGGCTCAGTAGGGGCATCTCGCTTTTCTCGTTTTAGTTTTGGCTCACAGCTTTTACAGAAAACTGTGGGGTTAGTCTTAAGGCCTATTGCTGATAAACAGGTAGCTCCTTTTACTTTTATTGTATTCATATTTTTCTTAGTTTTCTGTTGAACAAACATGGATACCCATTCCTGATATAAAAAATGTTTGTTTTAATTTAATTTACATTGTTATCTGAAGGCTAAGCTAGGTGAAAAAAACAAATTCTACTATGACGAAAAACTTAAGAGATGGGTGGAGGAAGGTGCTGAACGTCCAGCTGAAGAAAAAGCCTTGCCACCACCTCCGACTACTGCTGCATTCCAGAATGGAACATCTGACTACAACTTGAACTCTGCATTGAAGAATGAGGGTTCTCCTCCTAACGGAAGCCCAAAATTCAGAAACCCAACCTCAATAGAACATGCTTCTGGGATCCCTCCTATTCCTACAAGCTCCAATCAATTCTCTGCTCGTGGGCGAATGGGTGTCCGAGCAAGGTACTTCTGAAGTTTTATTTATTAGCAATGCACACTATTGTAGTTGAGTAATGCTATGGAGCAAACTTGGTGGAAGAAAAAGGCTAAAAGGGTAATGAATGTTGAAAATAAGATTAGGGCTACTTGAGATCGACTCGGTTAAAGCTTGATCAACACTCTAATCAAATAGATTCGATTCGAGCTCAAACTTGATCAGAATTCTTAACAAGCCAAAACGAGCTACTTGATACCCAACTCGAAAAACTCGCGAGCAACTCAAAAAAATAAATATTAAATTTTAGATTTTTTTAAAATCAAATTATTAATAATATTAACATTTATATGTTTTTTTTTTAAAATACAATACAAGGCTTTCATGTACTTAAAATTATGTTTGAGCTCAAGTTTGAGCTTAAATCGAGCTAAGTCTGAAAATGTTTCGAGTTCAAGTTTTTTTTGAGCTCGAGTTGAGCTTGAAAATTTTAAGTTCGCGAGCTTTCAAGTTCAATCGGGCTTCAATTTGTTATTTCGAGTTCGAGTCGAACTTGACAATTTTAAGCTTGCGAGTTTTCGAGTCGATGTCAGTTTTAAACTTTTCGAGTTGAGTCGAGCTCAGCAATACTCGAGCTCGACTCTTCTCGTTTATAAGATGGTGAATATTTAGCTTTCTAATTAAACATAAGGTAATAACTAGCAAAGTAAATGATGATTTAACTGACCATGACTGTTTCTGAGATTTCGTAAGCATTTATGATTTCACTTCTCTGTTATTGTTGAAATTAACAATGTTTTTTGGGGTTTGATAGTTGATTTCTGTTGTATTTGTGATGTTACTCTGTAAACCAGGAGAGTATAATATTTATGTTTTTCATTTGGTTTTTCTATGGCATTAACTCTTGACAGGTACGTGGACACTTTCAACAAAGGTGGTGGTGGCGGCCAAGCAAATTTATTTCAGTCACCGGCTGTTTCCTCTGTTAAACCTGCAGCAGCTGCAAATGCAAAGTTTTTTTGTTCCCATACCTGTATCAACGACAACTAGTGAACTATCAATGGAGCCAATTACTGGAAATGCACAAGAGAATGCTACAAGTAATAATCCTGCCACTACCACTTCCACTTCTGATGCCAATGCCAACGCTTCTTGTCCATTTCCCAAGCCTTTATCGTCGAAGACTAGGCAAAAATTCCCAAGCATGGATAATATTCCTCAGGAAGGCATAATGACAAATGCCAATGGCTATTCATCAGACTGGCATCGGGCAGCCTCGTGGAGCGGAAGCAACTTTGATAATGCTTTGGGTCATCCTGGTAAGGCTGAAATTGGACCTTCAGGGGAGGCATTGGGTAAGCCTCCACCTTTGTTTATGCCTGGTCCAATGAATGGTAGTATTGGGGATGAGCTACAAGAGGTGGAGTTTTGAGCCAAGATTTGTCAAGATGCAAATATCAAAGTTTTGTTCCTGCAATCCGAATACGACAATGGCAGCACACTAAAACAGTGGTTATGGAAACAGAGATATCCTCTTTAGCTGTTAACCCCCTTTCTGCATTTGTATTTCAGTTGCCTTGTTAGATTGGTATTTTTTGTTTCAGATTTTTTATAATTTTTGGGATAGATATAGTTAAGAACAAAAGTAGCCTTATTTAACCTGGATATTTGTATTCCTTTTTTTGTTGCTAAAATGAAATCATTTGTACTTTTTCTTATGTTGAAGAATGGAAATATTTGAGTTGATAAATATCCCTGAACATACATTCTTAATTTGTTTATACAATTGAACTTCTAATTTTGGCACTTTTAACAGTAACTTTGATTTCTGTTTTAAGTGATGTCATTCTGCCAACGTGGGTTGTTTTGCTCTAAAATATTGTGTTTAGACTTTTAAAAACAAAGACTAGAGCTTTGGTTATTTAAACTTTCATTATATTCTTACAAATTTAATATATAATTCATATTATTTACAAAAAAAATATTTTTTTCAGAAAAATCCATAAAATTTTAAAATTCCTAAGTTCCACGTGAAACCCGAAGTTCTAAATACAAAATCCCTAATTTCTTTCTTTATCGACGTTGAATCAACGGCCGCTGCCTATCACTTTTGTTGTCGAACTCTTACTATCAACTATCTCACTCTCTCGTTATTAGAAATCGGCAAACAACATGTTAATCGATCTTCAAACATCGAATGTGAAATGTTCTAGTAAAATCACGAAGGGAGATCGATCGACACGAAAAAGACGAACGACGTGTGCAGTAAAAATAGGAGACTTAAGTGTAGCAACAACGATATGACTCAGCGAAAATGACTAATGAATTTAGAGATTCAGAGATAAGGATTTTAAGAAATTTAAGAGATTTTCGAGAATTTAAGGGTTTTAAAAATTAATTAATTTTTATTATAAATTCTATATTAAAATATTTATATATTAATCTTATTTATAATATATTTATATTATAAATAATATTTTAATTTTAAATATAAATTATAAATAATCTAAACTGTATGATATGTTTATATTAGTAATTTAAGTTATTTTAGTGGTTATGTTGTAACCTTTGTTTTTATAAATTTGATGTTCAAATTTTCTTAGACATGATATTTTGTCAAATTTTCTCAAATAAAATAACGTGAACATCAAATTTTAAGTTAAATATTATAATTGATAAAATAAAAAATTTAATTTATAAACGAATTAATATTCAAAGTTTAATGATAACTGAAATAGATTTTTTTTTCTATAATAATAATAATAAACCGGAAAGAACAAAAAACAAGAAAACTAAAATAACAAAAACAAAATTCTCTCCCTCTCTTACAATTTTGGTTGTATCTCGTCATATCTTCACCTGAATCTGTAAGTATTTTTTTCATTTGATTAACTCTGTATCCATTAGGTTTCTCTTCCTCCTTTAAATTTAATGCGTTGATTTTTTGCCTCAATTTATTCATCTACCTTTTAATATTTTCAATTGAATTTATGGTGTTAGGATTGCAGAGATCTCAAAAACCCTGGCTTTCGATGTCTGCATAACCGTTTCAGCTCGAATTCTGAACATCTTTCTCAATTATTACCTTCTTCGTTATTTTTTTTGGAGAATAAATTACAGTAAAGCAACCTTTTTTTTTCGTTTGTTTTTGTTATTAGATTGTTAGGCTTTTCTTTTGCATTTTAGCTCCTTGGCATTTTTTGTTTCAATTTGTTCGATGGCTCCGAATCCTCCATTCCAAGTGGAGGATCAAGCGGATGAAGATTTCTTTGACAAGTTAGTTAATGATGACGATAATGATAACATGGGCCCCACCGTCCCAAAATTCACGGAGGGTAATGAATCCGACGATGCTAAAGCCTTTTCCAATTTATTAATTGGAGAAGATTCCGGCTGCAAAGAGGTTGACAGTCGTGGTGGAAAGAAAAAAGATACTGTGGATGCAGGTCCAGAACCCGCCAGTGCACAGGCAGGTAATGGCCCTAATGATTCATTAGGGATAGATAATATTGTGGTTGACTCGAATAATCATCTCCAACAAGGAGCACAGTCAGGGGCTGTATTCAGTCAGAACTTAAATGAGAATATTGGATCTAAGAACGCTGGGGTTAAGAAAGTAGGGTGGAATTCGCTTTTTACTGATTCCAATGAGAATGGGGTGCAAGGGTTCGGTTCCTATTCTAATTTTTTCAGTAATTTAGGGGAAAATTCCATAGCGGATTTCCCTTCTGGGGCGGATGTAATTGCTGAAACGAGTTTATTCGAATGGAATGCAATTAGTACTTTCAAGCAGTATTGTGATGCCAACCATGATCAAGTTTTTGGAGCTTCTACTGCAGATAATGGAAATGAGCATGATCTATATAGCAGTCAGTACTGGGAGAACATGTATCCAGGATGGAAGTATGATGCAAATTCAGGGCAGTGGTATCACATGGATGGTTCAACTGGTGATGGCAAAGGGAACACAGATGTGAAAGCAGGGGCTTCTTATTTGCAGCCGACATTCCAATCTGTTGTGGGGACTATGATAACTGTAAAAAGCAGTGTGGCAAATTGGAATCAGGTTTCCCAAGTGAATGACGGGTATCCAAAACATATGGTTTTTGACCCTCAATACCCTGGTTGGTACTATGACTTAATTGCTCAGCAATGGTATGTGTTGGAGAGCTACAATGCCTGTGCTCAGTCAAACGTTCTGTGTGATGGTCAACAAAATCAAAATGAATTTACTTCTACCGTTCAGAGTTATCTAACTCAGATTAACAGTTCTGGCATGGATGGTGAACATGAACAAGGTGATAATTATGGGGCACTTGGTATCGAAAGCCCTGGTGAACATCGTTCGTGGGGAGATCCCTATCATAATAATCATAGTCCATGTTTGAATTTGTTGCAACCTGAGACTGTTCCCAAAAATAGCCTCGCTGGGAACCAGCAATCAGATACATCTTTTGGTTTGAGTATGCCTGCGAACAACCATGTAAGTCACTTCAAGTCATCCTATTCACTTCAAGTCATCCTATAATTTTCTGCAGAAGTTCAGTCAGTCAATAATGATAACCAGGTTCATAATGAAGCCAATGGGGTTACTGAGTTACAATGCTTTCTTCCTACTGAAAACTTCAACCACCAGTTTACCCAGACAACTTTAAAGCAAAATGAGCAAATGCATTTCTCAAATGATTTCTATGGAGGCCAGAAGTCTGTAAATGTTGCCCAGCAGCCACGTCAGACTAGCCAGTCGCTTCCTTATGCTTCTAACACCGGACGGTCGTCTTTTGGCCGGCCTCCACATGCACTTGTTAGTTTTGGATTTGGTGGAATACTCATAGTAATGAAAGATAGTAGTCCTCTGCAAAACTCATCATTTGGTAGTCAGGTTAGACAAGTTATATATGAAATAATGTATTAGAGTATAAATCTAATTTATTTTCTGTAAGCTGATGGAAGTAAGAAATAGATTCTCTGAAGTTGTGTCTCTTGTTCTAATTTCCAGAAGATAACATATCTTTCTTGATTGAGGATCTAAAGCCTAGTTTTTTAGCAGGGGGGCCCTTACTGGGTTTTAAGTACCAAACATGATGCTCTTGCTATTATTTTCATTTTCTAAATGTTAATGTTGTATGATTGTGTTTGTTTGAAGGGTTCTGTAGGAGCCTCTATCTCTGTACTCAATTTGTTGGAAGTTGTCAATTCAAACACTAGCATTTCTGGTGCTGCAGCAGCAAGCTCTGATTATTTTAATACTTTGTGCCAACAATCCTTCCCTGGTCCATTGGTTGGTGGAAATGTAGGCAGTAAAGACTTGAACAAGTGGATTGATGACAGGATTGCTAGCTGTGAATCACCTAACATGGACTACGGAAAAAGTGAAATGTTAAGAATGCTTCTCTCGTTGCTTAAAATAGCTTGTCAGCATTATGGAAAATTCCGGTCTCCTTTCGGCTCTGACACCCTATTGAAGGTAAATACTTCTAGTTTAATTTTCACCTTTTTTTTAACAATGATGTTTCACTTTCCTTAAAAGTTTCCACTCTTAATTTTAATTGTATCTTGTGAAGATGCCTGTCCTGTGATTTTTCTTTTTTCAATCTAATGGTCTTAGGCTTTCTATCATACAACTCAAGATATAACTAAGGTTTTTTTTTCATGTACAAAAAAGTAAAATGAGACTGTTTTCTTTCTTCTCTGATTTCTTTTGCTAGGTTATATTGTTTTTCATTCATATTGGCATGTACCCATTGATAGGGAACTGGTACTCCAGAATCAGCAGTTGCTAATCTCTTTGCGTCTGCAAAGAGGAAAAAGGACACTCCTTATGGCGCTCTTAGCCACTGCTTGCAGCAACTGCCATCTGAAGGGCATGTACGGGTATGCCATCGACTATACTTCACTATTTTATTCTTACAGGCTGTTCTTTGTTTTTTCTCAATCTTTAATGTATGTTGTAGGCAACTGCATTTGAGGTGCAGAATCTTCTGGTTGCTGGTAGAAAAAGAAAGGCTCTACAGTGTGCACAAGAAGGTCAATTGTGGGGACCTGCACTTGTTCTCGCATCCCAACTGGGTGAACAGGTTTGCTTTTTCACTTCATTCAATTGTCTGTAACCTATTCTTATTTTCATGTTTGAGGAAATTTAACTGAATCTGCAATCTCTCTCTCTCTCTCTCTCTCTTTACCGCTGGTTCCCGGTGGTGACTTTGGATCATTGTAGTTCTACATTGATACTGTTAGGCAAATGGCACTTCATCAGCTGGTTGCAGGGTCTCCTTTACGGACATTATGCCTGCTAATTGCGGGGCAACCAGCCGAAGTTTTTTCCACAGGCCATACAGTTGATAGCATGGATTCGTTGCAACAGCATGAAGAGGTAATATATTGGTGCATGGAATTTAATACTAATTGGGTTTTTAGGAAGGAGGAAAATTTTCTACCAAAAGGGTACTAATACAGTATATGGTCTGAGTATTTTTCTGGCGTGATTGTGGATTATTCAATAAGAGATTTAAGAAAATATTTCCTGTGTGGTGAAGTGGTTAACCAGAAGAAAAATGGCACAGGTTAAAGGGATTGTATTTCAGATTCTTTTGATGCTTCTATTCTATGTAGACTTTTTTGGAATGATCTTACTAACTATTTGTAAGAAGAGTACCTTTTTTGTGAGAACTGATGCTTCATTCAGCTACCGCCTGTTACATTTCAGACACAAAAATGTTTGAATTCATATTAATGGGAGTACATTTACCTAAACTCATCAGAAGCTGAATTCCGTTGCTTTTGTTTATCTGTTTTCTTTTTCTTCTCTTTTTCTTTATGGGCAGTTACGGGCAGATTGCATGCTTGATGATTGGGAAGAGAATTTGGCTGTAATAACTGCAAATAGAACCAAAGATGATGAGCTTGTAATTATCCATCTTGGAGATTGCTTATGGAAGGAAAGGAGTGAGGTACATTATTGTCTGCTCTTGCTCCATTTTCTCCCTTTTGGATGGCACGCATATAGCATATTTATTCATTCTTAATGATTATAAAATGGCTCTTACTTGAGAGTTCAAATCCAGATAACGGCAGCACACATCTGTTACTTAGTTGCGGAAGCAAACTTTGAGTCATATTCAGGTAGTGCTAGACTTTGTCTTATCGGAGCAGACCACTTGATGTTTCCCCGGACCTATGCTAGTCCAGAGGCTATCCAGGTGCTTTTCAAATTTATTTGGTCCTTAATCATTGTGTTATTAACTATTTGTTAAGCATGGTGTTGGTACTCTAGCATGTTTACTAGAGTTTATCCCCTTTATGATTGATTTACGGTATTTGGTTGAGAATGTTTCTTTTTAGTTGGGAAAATGTAAATGAAAAATCAATCTTCAAGCAAAATTTATAAGGTTGAAACCTAAACAGGAAATAAAGTGTGCATTCTATAATCTTTCTCTCTTTCTCTCCCCCTATATTATTGTCGCAACCGTCTTTCGGTTGTGCCCCGGAATTGGGCTTCGACTTAGAAAAATGTGGATTGGAGTCGCCACCAATCATTTATTTAAAAATAAATGGGTTGATCGGATACCCTATTTCTACCTGATCTACGTCTTACCAGAAATATGTCGGGCTCGGGAGTCGGTTACGGTCAAGGAAGGATTAGCACCCTTGAACCGCCCTTTCGGTACTACGTAATTTCCAGTTGTCTTAATTAAGAAAAATAACAAGTTAAATTAAAAGGTAAAGTTTCGATCCTAATTACTTACCCTTGATTGATTTGAAAATATCCTTTAAAAAAATCTAGAAATGTGTTAGATAAACAAGGTAAAGAAAACAAATAAGATACAAGGGAAAAATAAAATAAATAAAATAAATAAGTAAGATAAGAAAAAAAATAGTAAAGTAATAATTATATATAGTAATATTTGAAAAAAAAGAAAAAAAATATAAATATATATATATATATCAAAGTATTAATAAAATAAATAAGCTATATATATACACCAAATACTTAAAAATAGAAAAGCTACCCTCCCAATTCACCGAAAATGGGGGGCTTTAGTAAGAAATAAGACAAAAAAATGGGCTCTCTAGGTTAGTAGTATATAATATAATGTTTAATAATAATAATGATAAAGACACAAGGTTTTTTTTTTTAAAAATAATATAATAATAATGAATAAAAAAACAAAAATAATAAAAATTAATATAAATATATAAAGTTATAAGATATATTACATAAATAAAGAAATAATCAAATAAAAATAATTAAGAATATATATATTTAATAATAGTATATTTAAAAGTATAAAAAATATATACGATTAGATAAAGATAATTACAATATATATATAGTAATATTAGATTTATAAGTAAAATATTAAAGAAATATATATATATAATAATAATAAAATATAGTAAAAAATAAATGAAAAAAATTTAATATATATATATATATATATACATATAATAATAATAACATGAATAATAAAAATAAATGAATAAAATATCCATATAATAAATAAAGGGACTAATATAGATTTTTAAAAAGCTCTTCCCCTCCTTTAACCGAAAATCAAACCGGTTTTTAAAAATAAGCCTCGGGGTAGATCTAGGTTCGAAACTTCGAAACCCCACCCATTTTGGTCATCGGCGCAACCCACGTTTTGAGTTATTCAAACCAAATCTCAAGAAAAATAATGTGCACATGCAAAAGAAAGAAAAAAGAAAATGCTACATTTTATTTCCTTTTCGAATCCTTTACAATAATTTTGCCTTTGTATCTTCCCGTGCTTTCCTCTATGTTTTGTGTGTAAATCCTGTCTTACAATGGTGAGTTACAATGGCTATTTATAGTGCTTGTGGATCCTATCTTTAGGAATTTAAATAATAGTAGAACTCTATCCTATTTTTAAGAGTTTGAATCCTAGCAAAATTTTATCCTATTTTTAGGAGTTTGAATCCTAAAATTCTATCATATTTTTAGGAGTTTGAATCCTAGTAGGACGAAAAATGTGTGTTGACAATTATAATATATAACACATATGTTATAGACACATACATAAAGACACGTGAATGCATATGCACGTACATCTGATCACCTTCATGAAATTTGTATAATTTGTTATTTCAATGGTAAAGTCGTCTATTATAACTGGTTGTATATAATGCCAAATCCGAGCTGTTCATGGATGGGAAAGATTCCTATTTTTCACTGTGTAACTTTTAAGACATCAACCTATACTTTATGCCTTTCAAATTTTCTATTGTTATTTTTTCTCAGAGGACCGAGTTTTTTGAATATTCAAAGGTGTTGGGGAACTCTCAGTTTGTCTTGCTACCATTTCAGCCATATAAACTTATTTATGCACACATGCTGGCTGAAGTTGGAAAAGTTTCAGATTCATTGAAGTAAGCATATTTTAAGTTGTTTGCATTTGATTTCTGGATGTATTTTCATTCAATTTGTTAACATGATAAGGCTAGTTCAGGTATTGTCAAGCTGTATTAAAATCTCTGAAAACTAGTCGACCGTCTGAGGTAGAAACTCGGAAACATTTAGTTTTGTCTCTTGAGGAGAGGATAAGATTCCATCAACAGGTAAGTTTTAGATTCTCAGTTTAGGGTTTCTTGTCAATATTTTCTTTGTTCATATCAGGCTTTCTTTTGTAGGGGGGATATGCTACAAATTTGGCTCCAGCAAGATTAGTTGGTAAATTGCTGAACTTTTTTGATAGCACTGCACATCGTGTTGTGGGGGGTCTACCACCACCTCCTACATCTGCATCAAATGAATATTCTCTAGGTAATGATCATTTCAACCAACAAACGGGGTCAAGAGTCTCTGCTAACCAATCAACGATGGCTATGTCATCATTGATGCCTTGTTCTTCAATGGAACCCATAAGTGAATGGGTAGGCAAGGAGGCTGATGGAAAAATGACAGTGCATAATAGAAGTGTTTCCGAGCCGGACATGGTCAGAACGCCAAGACAGGTTCACAGTTACTTCCGCTTGAAAATATATTTTTGCTAGTAGCTGCCTGTGCATCTTACATTGAAAATAGTTAAGGATATGTCTTACTGATATTTGATGTATCAGGTTGATTCATCAAAGGAAGCAGGACCATCCACTGAACTAGGCAAAGCATCAGACTCAGTAGGGGCATCTCGGTTTTCGGGTTTTAGTTTTGGCTCACATCTTTTACAGAAAACTGTGGGGTTTGTCTTATGGACTCGTGCTGATAAACAGGTAGCTACTTTTATTTACCATTGTTATTTTCATATATTTCTTAGCTTTCCGTTGTACAAGCATGGTTAAACTCCTGATACGCAAAATGTTTTATTTAATTTAATTTACATTGTTATCTGAAGGCTAAGCTAGGTGAAAAGAACAAATTCCACTATGATGAAAAACTTAAGAGATGGGTGGAGGAAGGTGCTGAACTTTCAGCTGAAGAAACAGCCTTGCTACCACCTCCGACCACTGCTAAATTCAAGAATGCAACATCTGACTACAACTTGAACTCTGCATTGAAGAATGAGGGTTCTCCTCCTAACGGAAGCCCAAAATTCAGAAACCCAACCCCAATAGAACATGCTTCTGGGATCCTTCCTATTCCTATGAGCTCCAATCGATTCTCAGCTCGTGGACGGATGGGTGTTCGATCAAGGTACTTCTGAAGTTCTACTTATTAGCAATGCACACTATTACATTTGAATGGTGCTAAGCAATGAATTTGGTGGGAAATGAACGTTGAAAGTAAGATAAGGTGGTAAATGTAGGATTACATTAGACTTGGGTAATATTTAGCTTTCTGCCTCAGCATAAGATGATAACTAGCTAAGTAAATAATGATTTAACTGATCATGAATGTTTCTGAGAATTCATAGCATTTAAGATTTCCCTTTTCACTGTTATTGTTAATTTGTTTCTGAGAATTCATAGCAGTTAAGATTTCGCTTATTACTGTTATTGTTGACATTAACAATATTCGGTTTTTGGGTTTGGAAGTTTATATTTATCTTGTTTGTAAATCAGGAGGATATAATTTTTTTTTTTCATTTAATTTTCCTATGGCATTATGAACTCTTGACAGGTATGTGGACACTTTCAACAAATGTAGTGGTGGTAGTGGCGGCCAAGCAAATTTATTTCAGTCATCTGCTGTTTCCTCTGTTAAACCTGCAGCGGCCGCAAATGCGAAATTCTTTATTCCCACGCCTGTATCAACGACAAGAAGTGAACAATCGGTGGAGGCAATTACTGAAAATGCACAAGAAGAGAATGCTACAAGTAATAATCCTACCCCTTCCACTTCCTATGCCAATGCCAACAAGTCTTGTCCATCTCCCAAGCTTTCATCGTCAACGAGTAAGTAAAAGTTCCCAAGCATGGATAATATCCATCAGGAAGGCATGATGATGAATGCCAATGTCTCTTCATCGCAATCAAGTCGAACAGCCTCATGCAGTGAAAGCAACTTTGATATTTCATTAGGTCATCCTAGCGGGGCCGACATAAGACCTTCAGGGGAGGCATTGGGAGAGCCTCCACCATTGGTTGTGCCTGGTCCAATAAATGGTAGTATTGGGGATGAGCTACATGAGGTGGAGCTTTGAGACAAGATTTGTCACGATGTAAATATCAAAGTTTTGTTCCTGCAAATCCAAATACGATATTTCCGAGCATACAACAATGGCAGCACACTAAAACACTGGTAATGGAAACAAAACTATATTCTTTGGCTATTAACTTCTTAAGCCCATTTCCCCCATCTGCATTTGTATTTTGATATTCAGTTGCCTTCTTAGGTTTCATTTGGTTGGTATATTTTGTTCCGGTGGAGTCTTATTTAATTGTATCAATAGGTATTTTCTGCATACCCTGTGGGTTAAAGGAGCTATATATATATATATATATATATATATATTCCTTTTTTTTTTTGGGTTACTAGAAAGAAAGAAATGCCCTGAGCAGTCATCATTTGTACAGCATTTGTTCATTTGTTGAGAAATATGATAAAATGTCATAAAGGAATCCCCCAAGGGGATATTTGTTTGACCCCTCATCTTTTTTATGGGAATTAAATGTATTTATTTTCTTTTTACTGCTCAATCGGTTTGGTTGATTTTTAAAAAAAATTGTATATATTTACACCATAAATGATTCATTTCGATATTATTTTCTTTATTATACTTTTTAAAAAGTATATAGATTCGAAAATCATTTTAGTAATTAGAAGTAATTGTCGATATGATAGTTTAGGAATTGATATAATATATGTACGTTATCTATTCCAGGGAAATAATTAAAAAAAACACTATTACAATATTTTAGTTTGTTTTTTAGGTTTAAATTTGTATTTTGCTTTTAATATTTTGATTAGACTCGGTGGGATTTTCCCCAAGGCAATAAATGCTTATATCTTTGTAAGATTTAAAAGGATAATAATAATTTTTTAAACATTGTAGCAATTTGGTTCGTATACTATATAAATTCTAAATGAGTATTTAATAGAAGTATCTAAATTTTTGCTTGGATGTTGATTAAAATTGAGGGTAAATTATCCATATGATCACTAAATTATTGTCTTTTTTTCATTTTATTTATTGATTTTAATTTTTTATCAATTCAGACTATTTAACAAAAGAATTGATGTGATAGTTAATAAAATTAACATAATTATGCATTTAGCACTTAATATTTATATATTTTATCAATTTATAAAAAATTAAGGCTGTCGTTTGTGAAGAGCTCTGCTCTTCTCCTTCTGGGTTAAACAATAGCTTGGGAAGCTTTGGTTGTGCCACTGAAATGGCTGATATCAAAACAGCAGCTACAGCAAGGTCTTCAATGGATTCGGTGTCATCGGTTTCGGGTAGTTGGGTTGTTTTGCAAGAGAACCATAAGGTTGTTTTCCAGGAGAACCATAAGCATCGAGCTGTGGATTTACAAATGATTGGTGAGGAAAACAGATAAAAAGAAAAAAAAACGTGATATATTAATTTAGTCATAATTTTAATTAAATTTAATAAAATTTTCATCAAATTAATGACACAAGTCACTTAACCAATTGTTTTTACGATCAAGATACTTAAAATGATAATATTCATAATATTAAGTACTTGGATTAACCGAAAAAAGTTTAGATACCTAATTAGAAGAAGAGGTATCGTTAGAACACCTTTTTTATATTAAACCTAAAAAACATTGAAAGAATGAATTGAACAAATAGTGCATATATTACAATACGGTGTGCTTGCTAAACAATGAATTGAATCAATGAAATTTGAAGGGAAAAAAACAAGATGATTAGAGTATATAAGATGATAGTGAGTGTTGGGGCTAAGCATCTGATGGTGCGATCCAGTGTCTTCCATTCACAAAACTCTTAGCCAAAAATGGATGGGCTGTCTCAAAATCTAACTCCCTGTCCCTTGATACCGTCGCTGCTCCAGGACCCCAACATTTATACACTCCAAAGAAGACTGTCCTGCAACCAATTATTTTTCTTATATAAGCTCATACCTTCGTTCCAATTTTAAATTTTCTAAAAACCCGGTAAAAGAAAATTTGCTTCTTCTCCAAGGTTTTAGATTTGAGTAATTGTGTCTACAAAATATGTACGTTATCAATTGGTTAATAAAATTTTAAATAAATATCATCTCATAATCACTTCAGATTATTAAAAATAAAAAATTAACCTTAAAATTTGGACATTTCAAGTATTTGTTTAAGTCAATCATAAATTAAACCAGGGTATAATGAGTTGTTAAAACATACTTGTTGTTGTTGTTAACATGGCCCCAGTCGTCCCAGCCACCGTGAGCGACGAGGTCATCGAAGTAAGTATAAGCGTAGACAATCCTCGAGTATTGACCCATGGCCCGACCCACATAAATCGGACCAGTACCCGTCACAGTACAGTTCACAAATGCGAACCCTGTCTTCTCATCTGCTCTGTTTCTGTCATGGGCCCCTATGGATCCGAATCTTGTTGCTATTGAGTGTACCTCACAATCCTGCACTAACCAATTTCAACCTATATCAAAATATCAAATTCAATGATAAAAGAGCGATTATATGATAATATATGTTTATATATTTTTTAATTATTTGATAATATATACACACCCTGAAAACGTAACTGTTTGAATCCGAAATCTCTATAAATAATAACATTTTCTTTTATTATTGATGTCATTTGATAGGAAGTGATTAAGAGAAAAGTTATATTTCCTAAAAGTACCGAGTTTAAATAATTGAGTATGCGAATGTGTGTTTTTAATAACTATCTTTTTTTTAACATATATTATTTTATAATTATAGAAAATTATTAAAAATATAATAAAAAATAGCAAAAATCAATGAAGAATTCTAAAATCAGAATTCATCCGAACATAAATTTGATGTGATACTGAGTCAACCCATTAAATATTAGAGGATGAGGGCTGTTTTGGAAAGTGGGCAGCACTACTTTCTAACACACAAAAAGCTCTCTTCCTTTTCCAATCCTTCATGGATAAGATTTGGTACAGAAGAACGTAAAGTCCTTTTTATTTGCCAACTTGGCTCACATTTCAAATTCAGAATAGTCACGACAAACCCTATCCCTATTCCCTCGACACTAATAAATGCTCTCTCCCTCTCATATCGATTATGGATATAGTTTTAGAAAATATATTTAATTAAAAAAAATTAAATTTATCTTTAAATTTTTTTTGATAGATTTAATAAAATTTATTTGATAATTATAAAAGAATATGACATACAAAAGTAAATATATATATATATATATATATATATAAGTGTTGTTGTTTATTGATTTTTTTAATAGAATATTTTAAATGATATGATTTTAAAAATAAAAAAGACAAATTTAATGATACAGAAAAATTAATAAATAACAGTATATATTCTTAAAATTTATATTAACTTTAGTGGTTAGAAAAGATATTAGGTCTTAAATTAGAATAATTATATTTGGAAGATATATATATACATTATCATTGGTTAAAAAAAATCTGAACAATATTACATTATAATCGTCTTACACTATTAATTTATATATATATACATTCTTACCTTGTACATGGAACGGCCGTTGCCAAAGATGAAGTCGATTGAGCCCTCAATATAACATTGTTTGAAGTAATGACGACCAGCATCGTCGCAGAGAGTATCTTGCGCACCGTAGAATCCACAGCCCGAAAAATAAGCCTTGTCCCCCGATATCCGGAACGCCACTGCTTGCCATCCTTGCATTCCCGGCTTCGGTGCCGGTGCTGTATTCTGCCATTTTATACACCAAAATTATAAATATGCAACATTTATTTGTTTGAAGATTCTTAATCATCATATAATGAACACTCTTATATGTTGTGTTTAAATTCAAAATCTCTAAAGATGACAATTATTTTTTAACCACAGACATTATTTATTTCGTAAAATCAGAATCGACCTCTTTAGCATGGTTATCAAATGAATTATCTTATCGGTTGTACGGTGCTTAATAATATATGTTTGACATATACATAATATTCCGTATTTACCTTGAAGCTGATATTTCTGGCAGAGAAATAATTAGCATATACAGTGACGGAAGCAGTTCGATAAGTACGCAACTGTTGCCCGTTGGCCCCACGATCACAGGCTCTGTCATGCCACTCTACGAACGTCGACTCTCTGCCACCACCTTGAAACGTTATGTATGGCTTTGTCTCCGGCACCACCACCTTCTCTCTGCACCGCCGCCACATTTTCAGCAAAAGTTATGCTTACATAAGCGAAACAAAAAAAAAAACAAATTATTACACGTAATTTCCCGGGCTGATTTGAATCAGAACATTCTTCCTATTATTCTCCGGGACTGCATCAACAGCATCTTGGACTGACCGGAAATGACCCGACCCTTTAATATCGACAGTAATCAACCGGTGGCCGATGGGTCCGATCCATATATGGTTGTGCTTCGTTGTGTTCGTATTAGAAGAAGTATTTGCGTTGACGACTGAGCTTGTTGCTAATAACGGTGGGGCAAGACATAGGAAAAAACACACGTGGAATAATAGCAAAGAACTCAAAGAAGAAGACTCCATTAAAATAGCACTAAGAACTCATAAGAAACGATGAAGAAAGAGTGAGATAATATTATTTTGTGTTCAAGTATATATATATAGTACTGTAAGCAAGTGAGATAATCAAAATTCGGGGTGTTTGCAATTGCAACGGTCATTTATCTTGTTCTTCCTTGGCTCGTAGGTGTTGGCTGCAATTGTGGGGTTGGCGTTGCATTATCTCTCTACCAACGAGTATATGTTCCTCATTTTTGTCATTTTTCGACATAGATTTGCTTCTTCTTTATTCATTCCAAATTTCGGTTTCTAGATTTTCATTTCTCGCCTAACAAAACCATCACATTATATAAAACTATATAATCCCTATTTACATAAATATAGCATATTTAAACTCCCCATTTAATTACACTTGTATCATCTATTAATTAAATATCAATTTTATTAGTAAATAATAGAAATATTATTTATTTATAATTACAATAGTTTTTTATACATTTTTTTTATCACTAAACTTTTAAAGCTTGCATTATAACGATTAAACTTTTAATTCACTTTTATTACGACCACCGCTGTTAACTACTATTAATAAATGCTGACATGACACCTTAAACTATTTTTCCTAAAAAAATCCAAAGGTTCCAAATTTGTAATCGCCACCAAGGATAGCTTTATGATGAACAGAGCAGTCGTAAATCAATTCCAACAGTGGGAATGATATGTTTGATTAAAAGATTGACTTAGTTTGGTTTATAAATAGTCAAACGGTTGATGGAAGCATATCGAAAAGTTTTAACTTTTAGTTTTGATTGAGATTTGAAAAGATTAAAAGATTTTTCGATGAGATTCACTCGAAAGTAAGATAAAGAAGAAGATGATGATTAATTTGATGATCTTTTCGATCAAAGAAAACATCAAATGACAACAACATCAACCACGAAAGGAGGGGATAATCCGATAAAAACTAAAAACTAAAACTACAAAATGTCATTGTTAACCATTGGATCAACTTGAAACCAAACAATGTTAATCTTCTAGCTAAACAGAATCTTCCTACTCTTGGGATTGACCGACAATCGCTCTTTTCATCAAGAATTCAACCTTTATAGCGGCTTCAAATTTGAAAAAGTAAGAAGACTTTAACATGTCAGTATTTTCCAATAGTAATGACCAGATTGATAAATTAGAAGTTTATTGTTTGTAATACAAAATTTAAAAGTTTGATGATAAAAATGAAAATCTAAAAATTTAATGATTATGAGTGTAGTTTACCCTAAATTAAAATAAATTGATTAAATTTGAAATCTAAGTACAGTAAGATAACCAAAAATCATAAATTGACCTAATTATTAACAACATGGGTTAAAAGGAAACCCCCTTTTCTACTGAATTTGTTAACTTTTCGATATAGAAAAATGCCAAGTTAGGAATAAATTAGTGTTAAAGTGTTGGTAGTGGCTTCTGCTAATGAGTGAAGAATGATGTTCTGTTTTTAAGAGTGTATTTAAGTATTTTGGCCACTGGTCCCTAATGGGGTCCAGTTGTTCTTCTTTTGAACGTTGGGACTAGATATTTTCTTTTCACCACTAGAGCTAGAGACAAAATTGCGCAGACTATGTTACAAAATTTTTTTTTACTTTCTCTCAAAATTGTACAACAAAATAAATAAATTTTGCACGAATCAAATTATCTTAATAGTTATAAGGATGATTATTATCATTAAATGTCTCGGATTCGAACAAATCATATGTCAAACATGTTTGAGCATTTATTATCAAATGAGTTGAGAGTCTTTTGAACAAATATTATCTTATAATCACCCTTAGATTAATAAAATAAATAAATGGGTAAAGTACGCATTTAGTACCTAAACTATAGCTCTGGCCCGTTTTATACCTAAACTTTTTTTTTATCAAAACCATACATAACGTTTATTTTTTGTTTCATTTTAGTACCCGTTAAAAATTTAACGTTAAGTTTTGATTTTTTTTTTGAAAATTTAGGTACTAAAATGGACCAAAACTGATAGTTTAGGTACTAAACGTGTTAAGTTTTTTACAACGGGTACTAAAATGAAAAAAAAAACTAAACATTATGTGTGGTTTTGAAAAAATTAAAAGTTCAAATATTAAAAAAAATAAAAACTTATAGTTTAAGGACTAAACACATAATATATACTAAATAAATAAATTTTAGTTTTACTAAAAGGTTGTCAGTTGCGATACCAAAAGGTCTTGGATTATGAGATTATGATGACTGGCTTGATTATATATATATATATATATTGATAAAATGAGTATAGCCTTAGGATCCATTGAAAAGATGCTTGTATAGTATAGTATAGAACTTTGGGTTGTGATTGGTGAAGGATTAATTTGCAACAACATTGCGAGTTCCGATAGGTTTTGCCCACAAATCGAGGGAATATAATCCACTGCCTTGCAACTTTGGTCTCTCTTTGATAATCACGCTCGCCGTTGATGATGAATGTCCGTAAGGTACATATGCGTCATTTTGTGTCACCTCCCTTTTTCACATTTTTAGTGGTTCATGGGAGAGATAATAAGATTTTTTATGGTAATTAATGTATAAAACAATTTATTTTTATATTATGATCATGGCAAATCATAATTTTTTAGTATTGTATTCATTATTTCTTCTAAGGTTTGATTCTTATGTTATGTTACTTTATTTAGTTGAAGAGAGTAGGATAATGTTACTTCATGAATGATATATCATGTTGTGTGCATTACTAGTTAGATGTTTTAATGTATTCATCATTATAATCATTTCTCACTCTTTTTATTAAGTTAGTTTTCAACTTCATGTTTACAGATAATAACTTTCTCTATAGTTTCGTTTTTGCTCTTAAGCTAATATAAATATCAACTTTTTGCTATCACCAATGAAGGTAATAAAATATTTATTTTTTCTTCTCGTTTGTGCTATCATTGCGAATTTTAAGAACTTGACCACTAAAAATTTCTTAATGCTAGCATCTTCCGTTTTATATTTATGGTCTAATATCATCCATAATTTTTTTGGTCATCTTGTGGATATTATACACTTCATATAGCGTATCCGACAATCCACTAAGGATGTAGTTTTGGCATATGAAGTCAACATTCTTCCAAGCTTCAACGACAATCCACTTGTCGTTAATATTTAACAGAATAGCTGATGTGACAGTTAAATGAATTAGTATATTGACATATTTGGTCCTTATTACTAACACATTTAACCAATTTGATCTTAATTGTAATTTAATTCTCAAATCATATAGTGACATGTGTCACTACTTGATTAGAGGGATTTTTTTTTAATTTATTTAGTTAAGTAAATTTCCACTTCAATCATAAGGTGACACATCTCATCTTATGAATTAAAGGTTAAAATAACTTAATTTTTTTTAACTTAGTGAGACTCAAATCAACAACCTAAAGAATGGCTTGGGCGGGCCTCTACCACTGGGACAAACCCCATATCTATTTTATAATATAATTTATATGTTTTATTATTATCAACTGCAGAAAAATAAGAAAAAAAATTTGGTTAAATCGACACTAATGCATAAAATATTTCAAAATACATAAAATTCATATAATTTTATGAAATATTCGAAAAAAATAATGGTACAAGCTTTATTTTTAAAAAAAATTGTTACGTATATGATTTTTTAATAAAAAGTTTTTTTCAATATCTAGATATTTTTTTATTCATTATCTAACAATTGATTTTTTTAATTATTAAGAATCATATAGGCAACAATTGAATTAATTAAAAGTTAGGACCAAATTAATAGAATGTGTAAGTAATGAGGGCTAAATGTGTAATTATACAAATTTTATTAACTACCACACCATCTCCTCCGATAATATTTAACGTTTTATAAATTAATTATACGTTTAGTAATTTATAAATTGTATGAATTTTATGTATTTTGAAATATTATATGCATTAGTGCCGATTTAACCAATTTTGTTTCCTTATTTTTCTTCAATTGAGCATAATAGAACATATAAATTATGTTGTAAAACATCTCACAAGCTGGTTAGAATCGTGATGTGTTCAAAGATATTTGAAGTTATTTTAACCTTTCATTCACAAGTTGACACATTTCCCCTTAAGATTGGAATAAAAATTTATTAAATAAATTAATAATTAAAAAATTCTCTTTAATAATAAGATGGTGACACATATCATTATTTGATTTAAAAAATAAATTTATTAAATTAGATTACGATTAAAATCAAATTGATTAGATATATAAATAATAAAGATCAAATATATTAATTTATTTAACTACTACGTCAGTTATCCCGTTAAATATTAATAATAAATGATTTAATTGATAATATTTAAATAATGAAATTGGAAGATCGATGATTAAAATAAAATAAAAAAATAATTAAGTAAAGATTGATATAGTTTACTCTTGAATTAAATCAAATGTCGAAAAAACACACACATATTAAATTAATATAACTTTCTTTTTATTTTTATCTTTTTATTCATAACCATGTCAATCACTTTATATTTTTGCATAAAAAAATAAAAAATAAAAAATTTGGTTCAAGACTGTCGGTTGCCAGGACCAGGTATTTCCATAGGCACGTGCGAGGCAAACCTTTGGACTGAGAAACCAAAAGAGAAAACGACCTAACCTGATATTTTTATAATTTTCTCCTAAACGTAACTTGGATAACTATATATTTAACATCTATTATTAAAAAAATCAACAGAACTGCTAACGTGATATTTTTTGAAAAAAAATTAATGATGACACGTCAACATCATTGATAGTTTTTAATGGAGGATGACCAAAATGAAACAAAAACGTAACGTTAAGTATGATTTTAAAATAAAAAAAATAGTTGAATAACCAAAACGAAACAAAAGTGGTAATTAGGATACTAAACGTATTGTTTACCCAAAAAAACTTCCAACGTGGTATCCAATATAAACCTAATATTAAACAAATGAAACAATACAGTAGAAACTCTTTAAATTAATACTCGGTAAATTAATAAACTCTCTAAAATAATAAATTTGTCTGG